CTTCTAGTTTTCTGGTGGTTAATTAGAGGTAAAAGTCCCATGGACTTTTCTGCCCAGGCTGGCTTTGAATCATGATCCTCAGATCTCAGTCTCCTGAGTAGATAGGATTACAGGTGTGAGCCACCAGCACTTGGCGGGAATGAAGTTTTTCATACAGTCCAGCTGGCTTTGAACTCCCAAAGGCTGGTATTACAGGAATGTACTGATACACCCAGCTATCCATAGAATTTGGACACAAACCACTCAGACCCAAAGAACATGACCATCCCATCCCAGCTTATGGAATATTAATAGGGGCTCCAGCCCAGTGCCTGTGGTTCATTCCTGTAATCCTAGCTACTTAGAAGGCTGAGATCTGAGGATCACAGTTCAAAGCCAGCCTGGACAGTCCATGAGCCTCTTATCTCCAAGGAACCACCAGAAAACAGGAAGTGGTGCTGTGGTAGAACACTAGCCTTGAGTTAAAAAGCTCAGGGTCAGAGTCCAGACCCTGAGTTCAAACCCCATGACTGACAAAAATAAAAAGCCCAAAGTAGAGCTGTGGCTCAAGGGGTAGAACATCACCCACGAGCGAAATAGCTCAGGGATAGCGCCTAAGCCCTGAGTTCAAGCCCAATGGCCAGCACAAAATTAATTAATCAAGGGCTATAGCTCCACCCCTCCATGCACACCCCCCACACACATAGATACTGCCATCCACATCCACAGATCCTACACTGAATTTTAGACCCCGTGCAAAGGGGTAAAGCCCTAAGCAATGGCCAGGTTCAAACCCTGAGTCACAGAAAAGGCCAGATGCAAACTGTTTAGGATTAAAGGTCCCTGGTGTGGGGATTGTAGGGGTTGTTTTTGTTTTTTAGAAATGCTTGTTTCTCCTCCCCATCCCCTCCTGCTCCCCAGACAGGGCCCGGAGTACTTGTGCAAGGGGTGTCTGGCTGTAGTAAGGAAGAGGTGGGGATGAGGGAGTCCGCCCCTCCCTAGAGGCCAGGCGGGAGCTGAAAAATACGGTCACCACCCACTCTGGCTGTTGACCTCAGAAGCAGATGTGGAGCTGTGGGGAGTTGGGGGGGAGGGGTCGGAGGGGAGCCGGGAGGGATGGGGCTGGGACTGTTCTACTTTCTTTGTTGCGGGGTGGGAAGAGTCTAAAGCCAATAGAATGAGACCCTGAAGCATCTGGAGCCCCCCTCTCCCCCCACCACCACCACTTTGGCCACTTTGGCCTCTTGGCCCCCTTCCCCGACTATCTCCTGCCTTGCATTCACTAGGAAACCAAATTATCAAGTGCGGAAGTTTGAACACATATCCCGAAGGTCAAACGATGGGATGGACCCCCTCCTCCATCTCTACCCCCCCTACTCCCCCCCACCCCTTGTCCTGGCCCAGTTTCATTAATTGTCATCAACTCCACTTGGGTAGGTGGTTTAGGGACACAGTGCTTGCTGGACAGGGGAGAGGCTTCATCTAGGCAAAGATTTAAAATCAAATAACCTCTTCTTATTTCATCTGTTTTGTGTGTGTGTATGTGTGCACGCACACATGCACTTATGCGTGTGCAGGTCTAGGGCTTGAACTCAGAGCCTCAGCACTGCCCTTTCTTTAGCTTTTTCTTTTTCTTTTTTTTCTTTCTTTCTTTCTTTCTTTTTTTTTTTTGGCCAGCTTGGGGCTTGAACTCTGGGCCTGGGCGCTGTCCCTATGCTCTTCAGATCAAGGATAGCGATCCACCACTTGAGCCACAGCACCACTTCCGGTTTTCTGGTGGTTTATTGGAGATTAAGAGTCTCACAGACTTCCTGCCGGGACTGACTTTGAACCGTGATCTTCAGATCTCAGCCTCCTAAGTAGCCAGGATTACAGGCGTGAGCTACCAGCGCCTGGATCCCTTTGGCTTTTTCACTCAAGGCTAGTGCTCTACCACTTGAGCCATAGCACCACTTCCAGTTTTCTGGTGGTTCATTGGAGATCAAGAGTCTCAGGGGCTTTCTCTGCCCCGGCTGGCTTTGAACCATAATCCTCAGATCTCAGCCTCCTGAGTAGCTAGGATGACAGGCGTGAGCCCCTGGCATCTGGCTTATCTATCATTCATTTAAAGTTATGGTAAGGCAAATCTCAGAAAATAATTGAACAAGCATTTATTTTAAACATTTTCTTCTGGCAACTTCTTTTTTGTTGGTGGTGGTGGTGGTGGGGCTTGAATTCTGGGCCTGGGTACTGTCCCTCAGCTCTTCAGCTCAAGGCTAACACTCTACCACTTGAGCCACAGCATCACTTCCAGTTTTCTGGTGGTTCATTGGAGATAAGAGTCTCATGGAGTTTCCTGCCCGGGCTGACTTTGAACAGCGATCCTCAGATCTAAGCCTTCTGAGTAGCTAGGATTATAGGCATGAGCCACCAAAGCCTGGCTATATTCTGGAAACTTCTATACACACACACAGCAGAACTGAGGGAATTGATAGAGAACACCAGGCCTGTGTCCCAGATTTTCCCATGGTTCAGCTGCATGCTTGGTGACAGGTCTGTCGGCCTGTTCATCTAGCTCAGCTGTTGTAATATCGGTAGTGAGTCTTGAACTCAGGGCTGCACACTCTCATTTGGCTTTTTCCACTCAAGGCTGATGCTGCGCCACTTAAGCCACATCTCCAGCCTTGATTTGGGCTGCTGACTATCTTAGAGATGGAGTCTTACAAAACTCCTGCCCAGGATGGCTTTGCACTATGACCGTCCAGATGTTACCCAGGAGAAAACGATAGCTAATGATATATAGATTCGAATTTTTACTTAAATTGAACTAAGTTAAATTTGGAGATAAGAGTCCAGCAAAGTCTTCTGCCCAAGTTAGCTTTGTGTTGTTGGGTTGGTTTTTTTTAAATGTAATTTTGGTTTTTGGTCTTTTTCTTTTTTGGTGCTGGGGATTGAACTCAGGATGTTGCACTTGCTAGGCAAGTGCTTTGCCACTGAGCTACATCCCAGCCCCCAGGCTGGCTTTGACTCATGATCTTCAGATCTCAGCCTCTTGAGTAGCTAGGATGACAGGTGTGAGCCATCAGCAGGGGGCTGCTTCAAGGAGAGACAGGGAGACAGAGAGAAGAGACAGAGATAGAGAGCACTGGTAGCTCATGCCTGTCATCCATCCTACCTACTCAGGAGGATTGAGGTTCGAACTTTCCAGCCTGGGCAGGAAAGTCCACAAGACTCTTATTTCTAATTAACTATCCATCCAAAAACCAGAAGTCAAGCTATGGCTGGAAGTGGTAGAGCACTAGCCTTGAGCAGAAGAGCTCAGGGACAGCACCCAGGTCCTGACTGAGTTCAAGCCCTACTACCAACTTAAAAAGAACAGAAAAGAATTTTTGTGATCAGCCCCAGGTGAAGCTCAGCCTAGCTGGCTGTTACGTCAAATCTGGTTGTGCAAGGGTCCCTGTGACAGACAATGATGTCACTTGAGGGTGGCTGGCTAGAGAAGTTCAACCTCTTTTGTTGGACAGGGTGCTCAGCTCTTGTCACAAGAGGTGGTCTACAGGTGCTGTCGCTGGATTCCGAAGCGATTACAGGAGACAGAGCTTCGGTTAAGGTCACAGATGGTGACAGAGGCAGCGATGCTAAACTTCCCTCCCATTTTCAGGCGGGCACAGGGTCATCTTGTGCCAAACACAGGAGGCCTGCTACTAAAAGCCCTGCAGGGTCGGGGTGGGGGAGCCAGGGGGGCACAGGATGCACAATCCCTGGGGAGGCACAAATGCAGAGTCCTGGGTACCAAGCTATGTTCCCCAGGTAAGGGTAAGAAACTGCGCATGTGTGGACCCAGCCCCACATAAGGGTGAAAGCGTGTACTGCGTAAGCTGCGTGCCCCACATCAGTGGGAGAGAAACTGCGCGTGCGTGAACCTCCGTTGACCACTACTAGCCAGCCGTTTGGAACCTGTGTTAGCCCCATCTGATGGCTGGACACACTGGGACCCCAGAGGCTGGTTACTGACCTGCCTTCATACTGCTAGGGCTTACGGCTAGGCTTTCAGGTAGAGCCTGTGGACACCTTAAGGTAGAGTGAATATGGCCTTTCTGGGCATTTCTGTGTGTGTGTGTGTGTGTGTGTGTGTGTGTGTGTGTGTGTGTGTGTGTGTGTGTGTGTGTGTGTGTGTCATAGGGCTTAAACCCAAGGCCTGGGTGCTGTCCCTGAGCTTTTTCACTCGAGGCTGATGCTCTACCACTTGAACCACAGCTCCACTTCTGGCTTTTTTTGCTGGTTCATTGGGAATAAGAGCCTCATGGACTTTCCTGTGCAGGCTGGCTTTGAACCACAATTCTCAGCACTCACCCCCTTCCTGAGTAGCTGGGATTTGCAGGCCTGAGCCACCAGCATCCGGCTGGCTTTGACATCTCTGAGCATCCATGTCCCCACTTCCTCCAAGGAGTGTCCCCCAAATGATGCCACCCCAACCAAAGCTTTCATTGCTGAGATTTCGAAGCCCACTCCCCTTCCTTCCCCTCCCCTTCCCAGGCAGTAAGCTCCTGACCCAGCTTGTCTGCGAGTGGCCCTGGGCAGGCATTGTGCCTCTGCGTGTCTCTGCTTGTCCTAGCCTTGTGTGGTGTATGTGTGTGTGTGTGTGTGTGTCTGTGCGTGTGCATGAGTGTGAGGGGGAGTAGCCAGGAGGAGGAGAGGCCTGGCTGGGGGCTGGGCTGGGGGTGGAGGCAGAGGGAAGGAGGACGTCACCAGCTTCAGGGAGTGGAGTTCTGCCGGAATGTTGATTACCAGACCCAAAAAGAGACTTAAGAGGGACAGCGCCCAGACACATAGCCTTTAGCCTTACTTCCCCCCAAAACTGGGAGCATAACCATCTGGATCCCCTTCCCCCTCTCTTCCCAGGCTCCTTCCTAGGCTCCTTTAAGACTGGGTTTGTCCTCAACTCCAGGAGTTAACCCTTGGATGTCCAGGTGGCCCCTTAGGCTATAGCCTGGTGGGCGGAGGAAAGAGGGGGGGGGGCCTGTGTGAGGCGGGGAAAGGGTTGCCCTAAAGTCTAGGGAGGAAGAGAAGGAGCCAGCGCTGGGAAGGGAAGGAGGCAGTCAGTGGCTCAAGCTTGGGGGAAGGTGGTTGTTGGAGAAGCAGAGCCAAGGCGAGGGGCTCCTGCTGTGCCAAGCGTGGGCAGTGCCAAGTCCCCAGGGAGCCCGGAGCTTGGGGGGGAGGGCCGGGAACAGCCTGGCCCTGCCCCCTCCCCCCTCCGGGAGGCGTCCAGCAAGTTGGGAAGAAAAAGTTTGGCTTCGGATCTCTCTCGTGTGCTGATGACCCAAAGGATGGGCAGAATCCCGTTAGTGTGGTGTTTGGCGTTGTCCTGCTGGGGTTATGCAGCCCCCGAGGGTGAGTGCTGGGGGTCTTGTGGAGACCAGTGGAGGGGTGAGGGACTGGATGACAGGTGGTTGGAGATGCCAGACTTTTAGCTTAGAGACATTTCCTGGAAGCAGCAGAGACTTAGAAAGAGGGAGAGAGATGGAAGGACACACAGACATGCTAGGACAGGCATTGGGGGGAGAAAAAGAAGACAGGGGAACAGAAGGAAAAGAAACAGAAACTGCGGGGGTGGGGGGGCAGAGGCAGAAGACATAGACAGACAGATGGACATGAAAAGCTGAGCGATGGATCAAGGCTAACTTTACAAGAAGCTGACGTGGGGATCCAAGGAAACAGGATCGAAACTTCCCCCACAGGGCCGCTGAGGCAGACAGAGGGATGGGGTAGAATGTGAAGTTCTGGGGATCCCTTTGCCACTGTCTTACACCCCCCCGAAGGGAAGGAGTGGCTATGACTCTTCGTGTTTCTTGTCTCTTTCTCTTTGTCTGTCTCTGTCTCTTTATTTCTGTCGCTTTCTGTCTCTCTCTCCATCCCAGCCCCTTTTTTTTTTTTCCCCTCCTCTGCCCACCATCCCAATCTGTTAAAGTCTTGGGGAGGGGGGGGCAATCCAAAGATCAGAGGGCAGCCCTGCCAGGCAGCCCTGGGGCATGGGAAGCCACCCAGATCCCACAGGATAGATGGACACTGGCCCTCGGTCCCCTGGGAAGACTCTCATCCTCTCCCAAGCCTCCACCCTCCACTCCCACCCTGCACTCTGAGGTCACCCCACAACTATGTATGCTGAAGGGCCTGGAAGGGGCCTGGTGGGGGAGAGCTGGCAGGGTCCTGGTACCCCCTCTTCCTGGGTGGGGAGGGGGGGTCCCTCAGCTCCTTCCCTCCCCTTGCTTGCTTCTCAGCAGGTGCCCAGGCTGAAGCAGAGGACCCATTTTTACAAAGTCCAGAGAACATCACCGGGGCCCGAGGAATCACAGGGACCCTTCGGTGTGAGCTCCGCATCCACGGCGAGCCCCCCGAAGTGGACTGGCTTCGGGATGGACAGACCCTCCAGATGGCAGACAGCACCCAGATTCAGTTACCCCTGGGTGAAGATTGGGAGGACGACTGGAAAGTGGTCAGCCAGCTCAAGTGCGCTATGTCTCTGACCAGCCTCGGCACCCCCAGATCCCACTCCCCCACCCCACCCCACCCCCCAGCCGCTCAGTCACGCCACGGGGGGACGTAGAACCCCAGTCTGGCTTTCCGCTTATGATGACACTCCTGAGTTTCATGTTCTTCTTCTGTAAAATGAACTAAAAATATCGTGACCTTTCTGTCCAGACACCCTCTCCCTCCCCACTGCCTCCCCTCCTTCAGTTCTGGTGGACACCCCCCCCCCACCAGCCTCCAACTCAGGTCCTCAACTTCTCTGATCCTCCTCTTCCCTTCCAGAATCTTCTCCCTGAAGCCTGCAGATACAGGACGGTACCAATGTTTGGTGACTCTTGGAGGAAAGACTTTCATGTCCCAGCCTGGCTACGTTGGGCTGGAAGGTAAGTGCTGGGGCACAGTCCTGAGAATTCACCAGGCACTGCAGAATTTGCTGTACCTTTCTAGGGCACATATGCTAATGATCTTGGGACATTAGGGGTGTCCAGGTATAGGAGGATTGTATCCTGGAAGAGAAGGCATTCAACATTTTTTCTTTTTGTGGGAGGAGAGTCAGGCATGATTGGAGTAAGTAGAAGCATCTAGAAATCAGAGGCACATGACTTAACTCTTCTACTCTTCCCCACTCCTGGGGAACCTCGCCGCTTTCCTCATCTGTAAAATGAGATGAGGAAAGCCTGGCATGGTGGTGCACACATACAATCCCAACACTCAGGAAATGGAGGCAGGAAGATCTGGAGTTGGAGGGTAGCTTCGGCTTACCTAGCCAGAGTAGGTCTCTAAATTTTTGGCTTGCAGGTAGGGACAGGAAGGAAAAACTGGGAAAGAGGGAGAGAAAGAGGAACATTGTCCAAAAAGAAATCTATACTTTACCTGATTTAGGTAACTGTGACTCCTCTATACATCATCTTTAATATAAAAAATTAAAAAAGAAAAAATTAAAAATGTAAATAGAAGCCAGGCACCAGTGGCTCAGGCCTGTAATCCTAGCTACTCAGGAGGCTGAGATCTGAGGATCACAGTTCAAAGCCAGCCTGGGCAGGAAAGTCCGTGAGACTCTTATCTCTAATAAACCCGCAGAAAACCAGAAGCAGCTCTGTGGCTCAAGTGGTAGAGTGCTAGCCTTGAGCTGAAGAGCTCAGGGACAGCACCCAGAGTTCTAGCCCCATGACTGACAAAAGATAAAATAAAATAAAAATAAATAAATAAACAGATAAAATAATTGTCAGTGAATTAATTAATGATTGATTCATTGAGGAGTCACAGATTTTTTTTTTTTTTTTTTTTTTTTGGTCAGTTGTGGGGCTTCTCAGAGCCTGGGCACTGTCCCTGAGCTTTGTCATTCAAGGCTAGAGCCTTATGACTTTCAGCCAAGCACCACTTCTGGTTTTCTGGTGGTTCTTGGAGTCTCACGGCCTTTGCTGCCTAGGCTGGCTTCCAACCACCATCCTCAGATCACAGACTCCTTAATAGATAGGATTACAGGCACCCAACAAAAGCAGTCAGATACCTTGTGGATAGAATCTACTCCTGTAAATTCTAGTCACTCAGATGGCTGAGTTAATGAGGATTTTTGGTTCAAGGCCAGTCAGGGCAGACAAATCCTCAAGACTCATCTCCAATTAACCAGCAAAAAAAAAAGTGGAAGTGAAGGTATGGCTCAAGTGGTAGCGTACCTGTCTTAATGGAGAAAGCTAAGGGGAGAACACAAGGTCTTGAGTTCAAGCCCCAGGACTGGCATGTGTGTGTGTGTGTGTGCGTGTGCGCACCCACACACCCACACAGACCTTAAAGGTCAGACATGAGGGAAACAGATGTTAGGATCATGCATTGTAAGGGTAGAAACTGAAGGAGGGCTGGGAATGTGGCTTAGTGGTAGAGTGCTTGCCTAGCATGCATGAAGCCCTGGGTTCCACTCCTCAGTACCACATAAACAAAAAATTAATTAATTAAAAATAAAAGAAACTGAAGGAGGTTCAGATGTCCTGGAGAAGCAGAAAAGTAGGGGAACAGGTCAAACACTCCATAGTGGGGGGGTAGCCCAAGTTTATTCAGAGGGACCCCAGCCTCTCCTCCTGTCCCCCATACCAGGCCTGCCTTACTTCCTGAAGGAGCCTGAAGACAAAGTTGTGGCTGCCAATGTCCCCTTCAACCTGAGCTGCCAGGCCCAGGGTCCCCCAGAACCTGTGAACCTGCTCTGGCTCCAAGATGCTGTCCCTCTGACCCCCACCACAGGCCATGATCCCCAACACAGCTTGTATGTGCCAGGTGAGTGGGGAGGGGGTAGGTAAGGGGAGAGGGCATGGCAGAAGTGGGGAGGGATGGCACTCTTTATTTACTGAATCTGTCTCCCTGGCCTTCTGGCCTGTCTCTGAGTCTCTCTATCTCTGAGTTCTCAGCTCAAGGCTAGCACTCTACCACTTGAGCCACAGCACCACTTCCAGTTTTCTGATGGTTTATTGGAGATAAGAGTCTCAGGGACTTTCCTGCTTGGGATGTCTTTGAACCTGGATCCTCAGATCTCAGCCTCTTGAGTATGAGGGTGATGGGCGTGACCCACCAGTATCCAGTGCAACTCTTAACTCTTTCTTCCTGGGTCTCTGTGTATCTGTTTGTCTCTTACTCTTTCCATTCAACCTCTCTGAATAGCACTCTTTGTCTCCAATTTCCTCTGCGCTTTCAAGTCTGTGGGCCTTGTGCCCTTTTGTGACCCAACAGGGCATCGGAACCATCCGTGCCCTCTTCTCCCCCATCTGCCCTCACATACACACACAGATGCCCATCGATTGCCCTCCAGCGTCCTCTGGGCTTTGGCTCAGGCACTCCTTTGGGCAAAGGAGGGAGAGAAAGAAGGAGCCAGAGAAAGACACCCCGAAGTGACCCAAGATGGGAGAGTTACAGGGAGGTTGGGCTAACAAGATGACTCTCACTCTGCTTGGAGTTTCATAGTGGTCAGAGGCAGAGCTGGGGGGTGGAGGTGGGTGAAGAACCTTCCATTATCCAAGGAGGAGAGACAAATTGAGGTTGTCTCAGTCCAGAGTGGTGGCTGAACCCCACCTGCTTCCTCACTGCCGTTGCTGGGATGAAAAGGGGCCAGAGGTGAAGGGTGGTACCCACATTCTCAGCATTCTAGGGACCCTGAGTGTGCAGGGAAGGGATGGGAAGCATGCTGACCCCCCAGAGGGGTGACTCAGGGCCAGTGGCTTGAGTGAGTGGTAAGGGACAAGAATGAAGCTTGAGTCACAGAAGAGGGGGTGCCAGAGAGGGATGGATATGTGTGTGTATGTGTGTGTGTGTGTGTGTGTGTGTGTCCATGGGTCTCTGTGGGGTGGACGTGTCCAATTGTGGTATCCATGTGTCTGCATAGGTTGAGCCTGTTGGAATATAACTGACACCAATGGAGTCTCTGATCCCAGTGTGTATGTGGGGGGCGGGGGGGGGGGGGCAGGTAAGACAGCCTCGGGTTCACAAGTCAATAACAAACACCTGCTGCTTCCCTCTGGTCTCCTTGTATGTGTATTGGCTCTGGCTTGACTTTTTTTTACTCATGACAGGTGATCTACCACTAAGCCATGCCTCCAGCCCAGCTTTTTGCTACTTAAACAGAAATGGAATCTCAGAGACTATTTTTCTGCCTGGGCTAGCTTTGAACGGTGATCTTCTAGAGCTCAGCCTCCTGAGTAGCTAGTAGACAGGAGACACCAGCCCTGATTACTTGTATGTTTCTTACTGTGTGTGTATGTGTGTGTGACTTGATTTCTGTTATTCACATGTGTGTGTGTGCCACTAGGTTTATGGGTTTGTCCCCATGCTGACTCATTTGTGTTTGTGTATATTTGTGTGTGTGTCTAAGTCTCCTAGATGTGAGTCAGTATGCATTGTTTAGGACCAGCATGGAGTTCAGCTTAGCCAGCTCTGTTCATCTGTGTTTGCATTTGTGCCAATAACGGCTTGTGTGACTCACCGTGTTGGTGTGTCTATGTGTTTGTGTCTGTGTGTCTTTGTGTGTCTTCGTGTATATGCATGGGTCTGTGTGTCTCTATTGCTTTGTGAAGGAATTTTGTCCGTTGCTGTTAAGTCTGTCCCTCTGACTCAGGGCGTGTCTTCCTTCCATCCCTCACATTCCCTGGAAAAGCAAGGCAGGGGTGGGGTGGAGCTGGGGGGGGGGGACCCATCTGGAAAGCACATCTGAAGAGGTCAGGCTCCCCCCCCCCATGGAGGGTCTAGAAGAAGGGACAGGGATCGCCACCCCCCCCACCAGCCCCTTCCCCCGAGCAGACGCAGGGGCCTGAGAAGGGGGGTCCCAGACAGGCGGCCGGAAGTGCTGGGGAGGGGCGGGGTGCGGGGGCGCCGTGACTCATGCGGGGGCAGGAATGCTGCGGTCGGAACACGACCAGGTTCCAGAATCCCCGTTCTCTGCCCCAGGCCCCGCTCGCTCGCTGGCCCAACGGCGTCCCCACGAGCCAGGTGCCAGCGTGGGGGCCCAGCGCGGCCCCCCTCGGACCCCCCCTTCGTCCCTGCTGAGCACCTGACCTTGGCTGGGAACCGGGGTGCCCCCTCCCCGGCCCAGCCCCTTCCGGCCCGGGTCGGCGGCGGCGGCGGGCCTGGACTCCGGCTCCACTCCCACCAAGCAGGGCCGACCACGATGGAGAGAAAAGGAAACTTTGTGTCGGCGTGGAGCTGGGAGGCGCCGCCAGGACCTCGGGAGGTGGTGGTAACAGGGCGTGCGCACGCGCAGTTACACGTGCGCAAACTGCAAGGGGCGCCACGTGCAGCGGGCACCACGTGCAGGGGGGTGTGCAGGTGCAGGAGCACGCCCTGTGCACACCCAAACCTTGCAGGCCAGGACTATGCACACCCAGAATATGCAGACATAAACCAGGCACACCTAGACATTGCATGTCCAGGCCATGCACCACTAGGCCATGCACACCTTACACCACACACACCTTACACCATGCACATCTAGATCACACATGCTTACGCCATGCATGCCTAGACCAGCCTTGCACACTGGGGCTATCCACACCCACGCCATGCAGACTTAGACCACACAAACTAAGGCCATGCATGCCTAGAACATGCATGCCCAGGTCTTGCGCACCCGGGCCATGCACACTTACAACACACATGCCCAGGCCATGCATGCCCAGACCACATACACCCAAACCATGCACTCCAGGCCTTGCACACCCAGATTTGAATCAGGCTGAAGTTTGATGCTCTGAACACGGTGCCACACAAATGTATTGTGTGTATGAATGTACACGTGTGTCCCAGAAGCACCACAAAGCCACATACATAGCAGGAAATAGACGGCGTGTATAGATGAACAATTTTTTTGTTTTTTTTTTTTTCTGCCCGTCCTGGATTTTGCACTCGGATCCTGAGCGCTGCCCCTGAGCTTTGGTGCTCAAGGCTAGCACTCTACCACTTAAGCTACAACTCTACTTTGGGCTTTTTTCGTGGTTGATTGAAGAATCAGATGGACTTTCCTGCCCAGGTTGGGTTTTAACCTCAGTCCTTATAGAAGTAAGCCACCAGCAGCTGGCACCAATGAAAAAACTTTTCTACACATACACCCATACATGCTTTAGTGAGTTTACCCATTCTGTGTGTGCTTCTACGTAGGTTGGCATAGGCCAGTATGAATATGTTTGTGTTTGTATTGGATGTACATGTCTTCTTTATTCCTTTTATTATTTTATTTTATTTATTTATTTGTCAGTCTTGGGGCTTGAACACTGGGCCTGGGCACTGTCCCTGAGCTCTTCAGCACAAGGCGAGTGCTCTACCACTTGAGCCACAACAACACTTCTGGTTTTCTGGTGGCTAATTGGAAATAAGAGTTTTGTGGATTTTCCTGCTTGGGCTGGCTTTGAACTGTAATCCTCAGATCTCAGCCTCCTGAGTAGCTGGGGTTACAGGCGTGAGCCACTGGTACCTGGCTATTCCTTTTATTTTATTATTATTTTTTTGGCTAGTACCGGGCCACTGGAGCCTTCCAGTCTGGCTTCTCTTTTTCTACTCACAGCTAGCAACTACCACTTGAGCTCATACTGCCAACCCTGCTAGTTCACTGGAAATAAGAGTCTCTCAGATTTGTCTGCCCTGGGTTTTTTTGTTTGTTTTTTGTTTTTTTGCCAGTCCTGGGGTTGAACTGAGGGCCTGGGCACTGTCCCTGAGCTTCTTTTGCTCAATGCTAGCACTCTACCACTTGAGCCACAGACAGCACCACTTCTGGTTTTTTCTGTTTATGTGGTACTGAGGAATTGAACCCGGGATTTCATGCATGCTAGGCAAGCACTGTACCACTAAAAACCAGAGTCCCAGCCTCTAACTGGTTTTGACAGATGGCAATCCCCAGATCTCAGCCTTCTGAGCAGCTAGGATTACAGACGTGAGCACCAGTGCCCACCTTTCTACATGAGGCTTCCTCTACTTGACCACTCAGCCCTCTCTCCTCCCCAGGTCTGAACAAGACATCTTCCTTCTCCTGTGAAGCCCACAATGCCAAAGGGATCACCACATCCCGCACGGCCACCATCACAGGTGACAGAAAATGATCGGAGGGGGGGAGGGAGGGAGGGTTATGGAGTGTCTGAAGGAGGAGCTTAGGTCCAGGGTACTAGCCACAGACAGGGAGGGATGAGATGCCTCCAGGGTTATTCTGTCCCACTATCTGCCCACAGTGCTTCCTCAGCGACCCCAAGACCTGCACGTGGTTTCCTGCCAACCCACAGAGATGGAGGTGGCTTGGACTCCAGGCCTCAGTGGTGTCTACCCTCTCATCCACTGCACCCTACAGGTGAGACCTCCCCTGACTTTGGTCACCCCAGTGTCAGCCCTCTTATCCGTACTCACAAGCACCCATCCTCTCTCTAAGAAACCAACAGTAGAATATTCAATTAAGCCAGTGTCCTGACTCTCCTCTCCTCCCTGCTGTCTGAAATACCTTGCACAAGAGATTTAACTTCTCTGGGTATAATGGCAGTTCTGGGGCCTAAACGCAAGGCCTCACCATTCTCCCTGAGCTTTTTTTGCTCAAGGCTAGCCCTTCGCCACTTGAGCTCCCAGCTCTTGCTGGTTCAGTGGAGATTGGTCTTATGGACTTTTCTGCCTGGGCTAGCTTCAAGTCGGAGCCTCAGATCTCAACTTCATGAGTAGCTAGGATTACAGGTATAAGCTACCGGTGCCCAGTTTCATTTATCATTTGAACTAACTTCCTTCCTTCCTTCCCTCCCTCCCTCCCTCCCTTCCTTCCTTCCTTCCTTCCTTCCTTTCTTTCTCTTTCTTTCTTTCTCTCTTTTTCTCTTTCTCTCTCTCTTTTTGTTGTGGGGCTTGAACTCTGGGCCTGGGCGCTGTCCCTCAGCTCTTCAGCTCGAGGCTAGCACTCTACCACTTGAGCCACAGCACCACTTCCAGTTTTCTGAGTGGTTAATTGGAGATCAGAATCTCACAGACTTTCCTGCCCGGGCTGGCTTTGAACCACGATCCTCAGATCTCAGCCTCTTGAGGAGTTAAGATGATGGGTATGAGCTAACAATGCCTGGCTTCGTTTGAACTTTAAAAGCTAGGGTTATTCATCTTGAGATCCTGAGAAAAAAAAAAAGGGCCTGCTCCTCCTCCCCTGCCCATGGCTAGAAGGACAAAGCTGAGATTGAATTCCAGTGACTCCTCAGCCTGGGGGACCTTAAATGCCAGACCAGGTGCCAGCTACACCCCTGCCCCCATCTACCCAGCGTCCCCCAGGAAAGCAGAAGTGGGTGCTCTTCCTCTCCAGGTCTCACTTCCCGCTGCCGGTGGACTGAGGCCGGAGGGTCATGCCTATCCTAAGGAAAGGAGAAGTAGGAGTAAGGATGGCCCCCCCCCCCTCCAATACACCCACCTCCCCTTTGTCCTGGCAGAAGTTCCTCTTCCCATCTGTCACAATTATGGGTCAGGGAGCAGGCCTGGGGGCAGCCTGACTCTGTCTCCTGATGTCTACAAGTTGCCCACCTCCTCCAGTGCTTTCCAGGTGACCTTGTCTCCCAATGTGGGGCTGTATGACTTTGGGCAAGCCACCAAATCTCTATGTGCTCCAGCTTCCTCATTCCCCACCACCACCATCGGGGGTAGGGAGCAAAAGGTAGACAGGGTGACACATACCCGTAATCCCAACTACTCAAGAGGTGGCAGCAGGAAGATGGAGAGTTTGAGGGCAGCCTCAACAAAAGTAGTAAGGTCCTATCTCAAAAACAAAATACAGGGGCTGGGAAGGTGGCTCAGTGGTAGAGTGCTCGCCTTGCATGCATGAGGCCCTGAGTTCGATTCTTCAGCATCACATAAGCAGAAAAAGCTGGAAGTAGTTCTGTGGCTCAAGTGGTAGAGCGCTAGCCTTGAGCTGAAGAGCTGAGGGACAGCGCCCAGGCCCAGAGTTCAGGCCCCACAACTGGACCCAAAAAAAAAAAAAAAATACAGATAGGTGCCAGTGGATCATGCTTGTAATCCTAGCTACTCAAGAGGCTGAGATCTGAAGATCAGGATTCAAAGCCAGCCCAGACAGGAAAATCTGTGAGACTCTTATCTCTAATTAACCACCAGAAAACCACAAGTGGCACTGTGGCTCAAGTGGTAAAGTGCTAGCCTTGAACTGAAGAGTTCAGGGACAGCATCCAGACCCAGAGTTCAAGCCCCACAACCGACAAAAAAAAAAAAAAAAAAATATATATATATATATATATGTATAATATATATAGAGAGAGAGGATAGATAGATAGATAGATAGATAGAGGCCTGGGTAGCTAAGATTAAAGGTGTGAGCCAGGATACCTGACTCTGTAATTATGAATCACTCTACCACTGAGCCACCTTCCCAGCCCTAGATCAACAATTATTTGCTACTTTCTTTTCCTTCCTTTCTGTCTTTCTCTAGTTCTCTCCTTCCTTCCTCTTTCTTCCTTCCTTTCTTTCTTTTTTCTTTCTTTCTATCTTTCTTTTCTTCTTTCTCTCTGTGTTAGTACTGGGGCTTGAACTCAAGGCCTGAATCTTACTCACTCCAGGTTGGTGCTCTACCAATTGAGCCACACCTCCACTTCTGGCTTTGTACTGCTTCATTTGAAGATAAGTCTGTCTGACTTTCCTGCCCAAGCTGGCTTCACACTCAGATCTCAGCCTCCTTGAGTAGCCAGGTTGACAGGTGTGCGCCGTGCTGCTGGCACCCAGCTCTCCCCTCTCTCTTCAGGCTGTGCTGTCCGATGATGTGGTAGGTGACCAGCTGGGAGAACCAGAGCCTTCGGAGGAGCCCCTCACCTTGCAGGCATCCGTGCCCCCCTACCAGCTTCGCCTGGGCAAGCTCCATCCCCACACCCTTTACCACATCCGGTTGTCTTGTGCCAGCAGCCAGGGGTCTTCTCCCTGGACCCATTGGCACCCGGTGGAGACGCCGGAAGGAGGTAGGAAAGGCTGGGCTGAGAGATGCCACCCATGGTCATGCTGGACCTTGCCCGCCTCAGTGCCACCCCCCGGGTCTCCTCTCACCCCTTTTCCCCATGTGACCTCCATGTCCCTCCTGTCCTCTCAGCCCTGCCTGCTGGCATCCTTCCCAGATCTCTCCCCTGGCTTCTCCCCTGGCAAATCCCGCATGCGCTGCCCACGCACAGTGCCCTTTGTACGCAGCCCCCCCCACTTCCTGGGCACCGGGGAGGAGGGGGGTGGTCAGGAAGAGATGAGGATGCTAGCTTCCCCTCTTCCTTGCCCTCCAGTGCCCCTGGGCCCCCCTGAGAATGTTAGCGCCATGCGGAATGGGAGCCAGGCCCTCGTGCGTTGGCAGAAGCCCAAAGTGCCCTTGCAGGGTACCCTGTTAGGGTACCGGCTGGCATACCGTGGCCAGGACACCCCTGAGGTGGGTGCTGCTGACTGGGTTGGGGGTTGGGATGGTGGGAGGAGGAGGAGGGAGATGGGAAGAAGATGTCAAGATGATGCAATTGGCCTGCGCCTAGTAATCCAGGGGAGGTTAAGGGGACCCCTGGGAGGGGAGATGGAATAAATATTTAAGAACCAGTACAAAAGTATTTTAAGAGACAGATGTACTGACTCAAACAGTTTTACTGCAGACACGTATAACTGTCTGGAGGAAGGGGACAGGGCTTTAAAAAATAAACTTGCTAGGCACTGGTGGCTCACGCCTGTAAACCTAGCTACTCAGGAGTTGGAGATCTGAGGATGGAGGTTCAAAGCCAGTCCAAGCAGGAAAGTCCATGAGACTCTTATCTCCAAAGAACCACTCAGAAAACCAGAAGTGGTACTGTGGCTCAAGTCCTAGAGCGCTATCCTGGAGCCAAAGAGCTCAGGGACAGCACACGGGCCCAGAGTTCAAGACCCACAACTGACAATAAATAAATAAACTTGATAAAGGTTTTACCTAGAGCTAGAAACCTCTTAGGTGGAGAGGTAGGGCCTAGATGTTCACAGGGGTTGGAGAGATAAAGGAGAAAGCAACAGAATTCAATTCTTCCACACAGGAGTGAACAGTAGCATATACAATTTATGGTGCTAAGGAATTAAAGGCCAGGCTAGAACAGAGACAGTTCCTGTCTTGGTGTGGCCAGTATCCCAGAGAGACAGAGAGGCAAATGGGGGGCGGCGGTGAATGCTAGGGATGAGGGACGGGGGCCTTAGCTGGGGGCGGGGGGGGGGGGCGGGGAATGAAGGCTGGGGATGAGGATTGAGGCCTGGGGGGCCGGGGAGAATGAAGAATGGGGGTGAGACACCGGCCCGAGCAGAGGCTCAGGGTGATGGCTCACGAGCCAGCTAGGGGGAGTTTTCTAGATTTTTCTGCTTTTGGATCATAGGTGCTAATGGATGTGGGGCTAAAGAGAGAAATGACCCTTGAACTGCGGGGGGACGGGCCTGTGACTAACCTGACCGTGTCCGTGGCAGCCTACACCTCTGCAGGGGATGGGCCCTGGAGCCTCCCGGTGCCCCTGGAGCCCTGGCGCCCAGGTAACACCAAAGCCCCCTCAGCCCACCGTGGGCCTTCCTCCTGTGACACCCCGACTCCGCACCTCTCAGTGCTGCACAGCCCAGGCTGTGTGCCTGGCAGGAAGCCTCCTCCCTCCCTCCCTCCCTCCTTCCTTCCCTCCCTCCTTCCCCTCTCTCCCGCCCTCCCCCCCTTCCCTTCTTTCCTCTCCCTCCTTCCTCTCTCCTTCCCTCTTCCTCTCTCCCTACTTTCTTCCCTCCTTTCCACCCTCCCTCCTTCCCTTCCTCCCTCCCTCCTTCTCTCCCTTCCTCCCTCCCCTGTCTTGCCCTCTCTGAGCACATCTCCTCTCTGTCCTTTCTCCTCACAGGGCAAGGACTGCCAATCCATCACTTGGGTAAGGGCTTCTGAACTCTACTCCCTCCCTCCCCTAACATACCATGAGGGCCCTGTACACACACACACACACACACACACACACACACGTTTCTCACACTCATCTAACCTGCTTCTTAGGTTTGTGCGGGGCCCTGGAGGGGGAGGGGTCTGGGATAGCCCAGCACATTGGGGAGATGGCCGGATGGGTGCATGGGTAGATGGAGAGTGAGTGGATATGTGGACAGGTCAAAGGATGGATGGATGGATGGGTGGATGGATGGATGGATGGATGGATGGGAGAAAGAATGGTGGGCCTAGCACTGTTGGCTCACACTTGTAATCCTAGTTACTCAGGAGACTGAGACCTGAGGGTTGTTAGAAGCCAGCCAAGGCAGAAAAGTCCCTCTTATCTCCAATTAACCACTCAAAGACCAGGAGTGGCTCAAGATGATAGAATGCTAGCCTTGAGCAAAAGAGCTTAGGGACAATGTCCAAGTCCTTAGTTCAAACTCCACAACTGACAAAAGAGAAAGAAGAGAGAGAGAAGGAAAGAAGGGGAGGGAGGGAAGGAAGGAAGGAGGGAGAGAGAAAGAGGAAGGAGGGAGAGAGAAAGAGGAAGGAAGGAAGGAAAGAAGGGAGGGAGGGACGGAGGGAGGAAGGTGGGAAGGGAGGGAGGGAGGGAAAGATAGCTGGTTGGATGGATGGACAGATAGATGGAAGGATGAGCAGGTGGATGGGTGGAAGGCAGAAAGGAAGGTTGGATGGATGAAAGGAAGTATGAGGGGATGGAAGAAAGGAAAGACAGTATCCACACATCCATCCCACAGGTTTTTCCCCAACAGTTCTCAAACATCCCTTCTGGAACACCACTGTCCCCTCCTAGCCCTCTCATGAGTCACCACTTGTAACATTGTAACACAGCCACTACCCTGAGCTGTTCTTCACATACCTTCTTCTCTTGCTCTTTGTTTAATCATTAAGACTGAGGCCTGGAACCTTGCTGAGACCTGGAACTCTCATTTAGCTTTTTGTTTTCTTTCCTTTTCTTTTTTTCTTTCTTTCTTTTTTTTTTTTTTTTGTTTTGTTTTGGTCAGTTGTGGGGCTTGAATTCAGGGCCTGGGCATTGTCCCTGAGCTCTTCTGCTCACGGTTAGTGTTCTACCACTTTGAGCCACAGCTCCACTTCCAGCTTTTGAATGGTTAATTGGAAATAAGAGTCTCACAGGGACTTTTCTGCCAGGACTGACTTGGAACTGCGATCCTTAGATCTCAGCCTCCTGAGTAGCTAGGATCACAGGTGTGAGCCACCAGAGCTAGGCTAGCTCTCTTGTTTATAATGGGCACCCTACCTCTTGAGCCATACCTCCAGCTCAGCTTTTTGCTAGGTATTTTGGAGACAGAGTTCCACAGATTTTTAAAAAAAATTTTTTTTAATCCAGAGATCTGGTCTCAGCCTCAGTCTTAGACACAGTAAATCTTAGGAACCCTGAATCTCTAAATGAATTACAAGATTGAGCCCCTGGCTCATTCGAACTCATTGAACACTCGCTCCACATAGCCCTTAGTTTTTGGCCCCCAGCCTCACACTCCCTGCATATTCCTTGCCAGATACCTTACACACCATCTGATACTACAGAGATTCCCTTCCCTACTCAACCTCTTTTTCCACACCCAGGCCCACTCGCCTAGCACAGTCATTCCATTGTCAACCTTAAGCCTCCTGCACTACTTCGGATGGGCTCACACCTCTCCCACGCTCATCAGCTCACCATCCCATTCCACCTCTTGCACACCCAAAGAGCAGTTCTGTCTCTCTCTCGCTCACCCTACCAGTTTCTCATGCTTTCTACCCTACCTCATGTACCACGACGCCCTTGCCTAGCTCAGTGTCTGGGATATGAGAACACATCCATCATTCAAGTGCACCCCACAACTTCTCCCATGTCCCTTGACTCCCCACATCACACCCCCTTGGCTCCCAGACCTCTGCCATGACCTGTTCCCCGTACCCTCCCCCCCTCCGACAGTGAGTGAGCCCCCAGCTCCTGCCTTCTCGTGGCCCTGGTGGTATGTACTGCTGGGAGCTATCGTGGCTGCTGTCTGTGTCCTCATCCTGGCCCTGTTCCTCGTTCACCGGCGGAAGAAAGAGACCCGCTATGGGTGAGTTAGGATGTCATGGGGAAAGGCTTCTGTGGGCTGGGGGTGGAGAAGCCGGAGGCAGGGAGGCCAGTAAGGAGGCTGGGGCAGAAGGGGAAATGACCAAGAAGGGGAATGAGGCCAGGGAGGCAGGAATGAGAGGGCTGGAGAGGGCTGAGGGCAGGCCTGGGGGGCTGGGGATGGTATTTGGAAGGAGGGGGTTCCATGTGGTTCTTTCCTGTCCTCACCTTCTCCCCCACTCCCCCCAGCGAGGTGTTTGAGCCCACAGTGGAGAGAGGTGAGCTGGTAGTCAGGTACCGTGTTCGCAAGTCCTACAGTCGGCGGACCAATGAAGCCATCTGTGAGTGAACTCTATGCTTTCTTGCTCTGGTCTAGGCTCAAAAAGCAGAGAGAAATGGGCCTGCTAGGCTTCTGTAGGTGCATGAGCCCCCACTTGTGAAAGCCTGGGGACCACAGTCCCTGAAATGATGGAGCTGTGGAACCATACATGGCTCTAAAAACTAGAATGAGCCGGGCACCAGTGGCTCACGCCTGTCATCCTAGCTACTCAGGAGGCTGAGATCTGAGGATCGCGGTTCAAAGCCAGCCCAGGCAGGAAACTCCGTGAGACTCTTATCTCCAATAAACCACTAGAAAACCAGAAGTGCCACTGTGGCATTCTCCTTGAGCTGAAGAGAGCAGGGACAGCACCCAGGCCCAGAGTTCAAGCCCCATGACTGACAAATAAAACTAGAATGAGAGGGCTGGGAAGGTGGCTCAGTGGTAGAGCGCTTGCCTTGCATGCATGAGGCCCTGGGTTCGATTCCTCAGCACCACATAAGCAAAAAGAAAAAAGCCGGAAGTGGCGCTGTGGCTCAAGTGGTAGAGTGCTAGCCTTGAGCTGAAGAGCTGAGGGACAGCGCCCAGGCCCAGAGTTCAGGCCCCACAACCGGACCCAAAAAAACAAAAACAAAAACAAAACAACAACAACAAAAAACTAGAATGAGAGGCATCTTTGGTTTGATTTAGAGTTGTTTTTTGTTGTTGGGTTTTTTGGTTGTTGTTGAGACAGTGTCTTACTAAGTTGCCCAGACTGACCTAGAATTCATGACTCTGTGGCTTCAGCCTCTCAAGTACTGGGATTACAGGCATGTATCACCATGCCTGGCTAAGACACTAGAATCTCAGACGCAGTAAATCTTAGGAAACACCAAGCCTCACCCAAAGCCATAGAAATTTAGAAAAATATGATGGTGATGATGGTAATGGTGGTGATGATGAAGATGGTGATGGTGATGATGAAGATGGTGGTAATGATAATGACAATGCAGGTGGTGGTAACTAAGGTGATGGTAGTGATGATTAAGGTGGTGGTGGTAGTGGTGATGATGATAAAGATGAAGACAATAGTAACAAAGGTAATGGTAATGAGGTGGTGACAGTAATGGTGAAAGAGATGGAGATGGTGGCAGTGGCGATGGTGGTGATGATGATGGCCATAGGGTAGACTTCCCTAGCACCTGCTACGAGACAAGCACCATTAAGCATTCTACACGTATCACCTTATTTAATTGCAACAATCACCCAAGGACCCAATGTCACCTCACACTTGCTTCCCAGATAAGGAAGCCAGGGCAGCATGACAGAATTTGCTCAGTGCCACAGAGCTTGTGGTGTAATTTAGTTCGGAAGTGTAGACCTGACACATGCTAGATAATTCTCAGCCTTCCCAGTGCTTGGATTATAGGTGTCTACCACCACATTTGGCCTGAAATACATACTCTTCACTCTCATACCCTATGGCTTGTTGGAATTGTAGGATGTTAGAGAGATAGAATCTTGGCCTGAAAAATGACAACAATCAATACTATAGTTTTGAAACTCATAGGGTCAACTGGTTGCTGGTGGTTCATACCTGTCATCCTAACTACCCTGGAGGCTGAGATCTGGGGATTATGGTTCGAAGCTAGCCTGGAAAGGAAAGTCAGAACCAAGAGAAAAGCAGAAATGGTACTGTGGATCAAAGTGGTAGAGCCAAGTGCTGGTGGCTCACACCTGTAATCCTAGCTACGCAGGCTGAGATTGGGGTTCAAAGCCAGCCCAGGCAGGAAAGTCTATGAGACTTTAATCTCCAATTAACCACCAGAAAACCAGAAGTGGTGCTGTGGCTCAAGTGGTAGAGCGCTAATCTTGAGCTGAAGAGCGCAGGGACAGCACCCAGGCCCAGAGTTCAAGGCCCACAACCAACACCCCCCGCCAAAAAATTATAGGATCAATTCTCGCCCCTTTTTTTTTTTTGAGAGAGAGAGAGAGGACACATAGCCCAGGATAGATAGCCTTGAACTCTCAACCTTCCTGTCTCCAGCTCAGCTATAGATTTATTCTTTTAGTGTCCTCAGAGGTCAAATCCCAACTCTCTAGAAAATAAAAAGGATGCAGCCAAATCTAAATGTAGCACCAAACAAAAAGGCTTCCAGGCCTGAGGTGAGGGCAGTATTGGGAAAGGGCTGGGAAAGAGATTTAAAAAGAGAAGGAAGAAGAAGCAGCAGGGGCTGGGAAGGTGGCTCAGTGGTTAAAGCGCTTGCCTTGCTTGCCTGAGGCCCTGGGTTTGATTCCTCAGCACCACATAAGCAAAAAGGGAAAGAAAAGCCGGAAGTGGCGCTGTGGCTCAAGTGGTAGAGTGCTAGCCTTGAGCTGAAGAGCTGAGGGACAGCGCCCAGGCCCAGAGTTCAGGCCCCACGACCGGACCCAAAAAAAAAAAAAAGAAGAAGAAGCAGGAAGGTTGAAGTCATTTAATGGAATATTACACAGCTTTCATTTCCCAAAGTGTGAACCCCAGGTCCCCTGGGTTCCGGAGACCTCGGCAGGGGTCCATGTGGTCAAAACTGTGCTTGTAACACCAAGATGTCCTGGCCTTTCTTCACTGGTATCTTCTTCATGATCTCCCAGAGGAGTTTCCCAGATTCCTTGACCCTTGGTGATGAGGTCATCAGTGATTGGCCAAACATGTGCTTATGCCATCTTTGTCTTCAGAAGCTACTGTGGGGTTTTTTTTGTGTGTTGTGCTTTTGTTTTTGTTTTTGTTTTTGAAGCTACTGTTTTAGATTAGGCATGATGGCTCACGCCTGTAATCCCAGCACTTGGGAGGCTAAATCAGGATGATCAAGAGTTCCAGGCCAGTCTGGGCTACATGTTGAGGCGCCTAATTCCAAAAACAAGGAAACTGGAAGGGAAAAAAAAAAAAGATCCTTATTTCAAGAGAGGTCAAGGAAGGGCTGGGAAGGTGGCTCAGTGGTAGAGCGCTTGCCTTGCGTGCCTGAGGCCCTGGGTTCAATTCCTCAGCACCACATAAGCAAAAAGAAAAAAGCCGGAAGTGGTGTTCTGGCTCAAGTGGTAGAGTGCTAGCCTTGAGCTGAAGAGCTGAGGGACAGCGCCCAGGCCCAGAGTTCAGGCCCCACGACCGGACCCAAAAAAAAAAAAAAAAAAAAAAATTTGCTGGGCGCTGGTGGCTCACGCCTGTAATCCTAGCTACTCAGGAGGCTGAGATCTGAGGATCGCGGTTCAAAGCCAGCCCGGGCAGGAGAGACCGTGAGACTCCTATCTCCAATAAACCACCAGAAAACCGGAAGTGGCGCTGTGGCTCAAGTGGTAGAGCGCTAGCCTTGAGGTGAAGAGCTGAGGGACAGCGCCCAGGCCCAGAGTTCAGGCCCCATGACCAGACCCAAAAAACAAACAAACAAAGAAATGTGGAAAACTAATTTTAGTATCCATTTGCTGAATATTTCCACCTCTCTTACATGTCTTACTTGAAAGACTGGTGTGATGGCACATACCTGTAATCTCAGTTCCTTAGGAAGCTGGGGCAGGAGGATCATGTGACTGTCTCAAAAGAAACAAAGAAAACAAATTTTAGTTGAATATAGTATCTAGTCTGTCTTTTTTCTTCCTTTCTTTCTCTCTCTCTTTTCTTTCTTTCTTTCTTCCTTTCTTTCTTTCTTGCCAGTTCATAGAGCTTAAACTCAGAGCCTGGGCACTTTCCTTGAGCCTCTCAGTACTCAAGGCTGAGTATACTTGAGCCACAACGCCACTTCTGGCTTTTTTCTTTTTGCTTAAGTGGTGCTGAGGAATCGAACCCAGGGCCTCAGGCACACAAGGCAAGCGCTCTACCACTGAGCCACCTTCCCAGCCCTGAACCTAAAATCTTGAGGCAAGTCCGTTACTACTGAGCTACTCCCAAATGTCTTCTAGATGGTAACTTTACATTTTGTAACTGACATGGAACAATTGTACATATTTTCATAGTTCAGAGCAATAATTGGATTGTGTATACACTATATAATGATTACAGGAAATTAATTAGCACTTCCTCAAGCATTTCTCATTTCTTTGTGTGTGGAGGGGAGGCCTGGAGGGGGCCTGAGCTTTTTCATTCAAGGCTGGCACTCTACCACTTGAGCCACAGCTCCATTTCCAGCTTTTTTTGTTGTTTTGTTTTGCTTTTTTTTGGTGATTCATTGGAGATAGACCTTTCACAGACTTTTCTGGCCAGCTAGTTTTGAACCGCGATCCTTACATCCTAGCCTCCTGAGTAGCTAAGATGACAGGCCTGAGCCATGGTGGCTATAGTGGTGGATTTTGAACAAAATGTCCAACAGTGAGAATATGGTTCCTGGCCAGCCTTACTTCTGTGTCAGCGTTGCTGCTTGTCTCCATTTATCTTCCCTGCAGTGAACAGCTTGGGAATCAGCGAGGAGTTGAAGGAGAAGCTGCGAGATGTCATGGTGGACAGGCATAAGGTGGCTTTGGGGAAGACTCTGGGAGAAGGTAAGGACTCTGCCCCCCAGGACACATGCATTTCCCCCCCCCCAACCCTGAGATGCTTCACTCCTGCACTTTTACCCAACAAAAGGAAATACAGCCCCACCTCCCTGCCTCCCTGCCTCCCCACCGGAAGTCAATGGTGTATCCTTCCCCTCCCCACCCCACCCACACACACACAGGAGAGTTTGGAGCAGTGATGGAGGGCCAGCTCAACCAAGATGACTCCATCCTCAAGGTGGCCGTGAAGACGATGAAGAGTAAGTCTGAGCATGCATGCACATACAACTCTACACCCCCACATCCAGACCTGGAGCCCTTCCCCATACCCCTTAGGGAGGGCAGGAGAGCAAAACACACACACACACACACACACACACACACAGAGCTAGTCACCTGGTACTGGTGACCCACACCTGTCATCCTGGCTAGCTACTCAAGAGGCTGAGATCTGAGGATCAGGGTTTGAAGCCAACCCAGGCAGAAAAGTCCCCATGAGACTCTTATCGCCAATGAACCAATCAAAAGCAGATGTGGCACTGTGGCTCAAAGTGGTAGAGTGCTAGCCTTGAGCAAAAGAACTCAGGGACAGAGCCTAGGTCCTGAGTTCAAGCTCCGTAAGCAACAACAACAATAACAAAAAGCTAGTGACCCCAGTGTATCAAGCTGGGAAACAGATGCTTCAATAGAAGAAATTGAACATAAGGACATTGCTACTTTGGCAGAGGAGAGACTGAAAAGCAGAAACTAGACTGATAACAAAACAGGAGATGAGCAAGAGTTCTACTACCGAGCTATACCTAACCATTGCTTTCGTTGTTGGTTGGTTTGTTTGTTTTAAAGACAGTAATGCGGGCTTGAGCTAAGGGCCTGAGCACTGTCCCTTGGCTTGTTCCATTCAAGACTGGTGCTTTACCACTTAAGCCACACTGCTGCTTCTGGCTTTTTGCTGGTACACTGGAGATAAGTGTCTCTGGGAGTGTGGCTTAGTGGTAGAGTGCTTGCCTAGCATGCATGAAGTTCTGGGTTCAATTCCACAGTACCACATAAACAGAAAAGGCTGGAAGTAGCCCTGTGGCTCAAGTGGTAAAGTGCTAGCCTTAAGCACAGAGAGGCTCAGGGACAGAGCCCAGGCCCTGAGTTCAAGCTCTAGGACTAGCAAAAAAAAAAAAGTAAATAAAAGAGTCTCTGGGACTTTCGTGCTGTCCCCTCCACCTTTCCTGAGCATCCCCTCCCCCCTCCCACCCGCAAGTTGCCATTTGCACCAGGTCGGAGCTGGAGGATTTTCTGAGTGAAGCTGTGTGCATGAAAGAGTTTGACCACCCCAACGTCATGAGGCTCATCGGTAAGGGAGAGGAGGGTAGGAGAGAGGAAAAGAGGGAGGAGAGATAGGGAGGAAGGGAAGGAGGTGGGGGAGCCAACCATTCCCATGTGGCCCCATACCAGAAGGCAGACACCCCCCCCCCTCACTTTCCCTGTAGTAATAGATCCATCAAACGCCCAGGCTCCCTGCTGCTCCCCCATCCTTGGGGACCCGAGAGCTCCCCTTCCTTTTCTCCTTCTGCTTGGAATGTGACCTCTGACCCTTCCCCAAAAATAGCCCTCCCTAGAGAATCTCCGGAAAAGTCCCTGGGAAATGAAGGCCTCAGACTTCCAATCCTGGCTACTGACCCCCTTCCCCCAAACCATGTAGCAGCTAGATTTGAGGGCTTGGCGAGGGAGAGGGGCTGGGCTCCCCTTCTTCCCAGCTGGAATGACCCCACTGCCCGGTTGTGGGGGGGGGTCCCCTCAGGGGTCTGTTTCCAGGGCTCAGAACGAGAGGGCTTTCCAGAACCCGTGGTCATCTTACCTTTTATGAAGCATGGAGATTTGCACAGTTTCCTCCTTTATTCCCGGCTTGGGGACCAGCCAGTGGTGAGGGGACATTTCTCATCCTGTATGCAAGTTATTAATTGAGCATCTATCAGGTACCCAACACTGTCACATACAGTGAAGGTTACCACGAGTAAAGGTTACCACGACCTTGAACTTGCTTTCTTAGTGTAAGGCTTCCTGGGAGGGAACCAGGAAATAAACATACTAACAAATATGTAAACTGGACAATTAAAGGGCTAGAAAGGAAACCGGACTGATGATAAGGATGCAGGGAGATTCTAGGCATAAAGATTTTAAAGCGGAATGGGGTGGGAGGGGGCATTTCCTGCCAAGGGTATACAGAGATTCAGGCTGGAAGAATCTCCATGAAATCACAGAATGTGGGAGCTAAGGCTGGCTTGTCTAAAGACCCAAAATGAGAGCTGGAAATGTGGCTTCGTGATAGAATGCTTGCTTTGCATGCATGAAGCCCTGGGTTCAATTCCTCAGTACTGTACACACAGAAAAAGCCAGAAGTGGCGCTGTGGCTCAAGTGGCAGAATACTAGCTTTGAGCAAAAGAAGCTCAGGGACAGTGCCCAGGCCTTGAGTTCAAACCCCAAGACTGGCAAAAATAAAAAATAAAAAAAATGGAGCCCCCTGGTGTGTAACCAGTGACAGAGAAAGACAGGATTATATCATATAAAATATTGTGGATCCCCTGTGGGGCACCTGTGGCCCAAGCTTGTCATCCTAGCTACTCAGGAAGCTGCGATCTGAGGATCCAAGTTTGAAGCCAGCCAGGGCAGGAAAGTCTGAGACTCTTATCTCCAATGAACCATCAGAATACCAGAAGTGGTGCTGTGGCTCAAAGCACTGGAGTGTTAGCCTGGGACACAAAAAGCTCAGGGACAGCTTCCTATGTTCAAGCTCCATGGTCAACTGTTGGCTACAGAAAGGGGTTGGAGTTCATAGCAAAGCCCGGGAAATCATGACAAGAAGAACAGCACTAGCCCAGGAAGGGAAAGAGGAAGAACTTTGGTGTTCTTCCTCTGCTGACTCCTCTCCCTCCTGTTGCCCCCCTCCCCCCCAGTTCTTGCCCACTCAAATGTTGGTGAAGTTCATGGCAGACATCGCCAGTGGCATGGAATACCTGAGTACCAAAAGATTCATACACCGAGACCTGGCTGCCAGGAACTGTATGTGAGTGTGTTATACTGCCATTCTGTCCAGGCTGGCTTTGAACTGTGATCCTCAGATCTCAGCCTCCTGGGTAGCTAGGATGAAAGCCTTGAACCACCAGTGCCTGGCTTTTTTTTTTCCATATTTCCTAATCTATTCTATTTTTTCCCTTAACTCTCTCTCTCTCTCCCTTATCTCCCCTAGCCCCTCTCCTTTTTTAGTTATATTTCAAATAGAGTCTCATATCATGTTTTTACCGGGGCTAGAATGACAGGTATGGCCAACCTTCTTGGTTGAGATAGTGTCTTGCTAACTTTTTTTTTTTTTCATGGCCCAGCCTGGAACTATGAACCACTGCATCTCCACCTCCCTCAGTAGCTGGAATTACAGGCATAAGCTACTGCACCCAACAAGAAAACTCATGAGTAAAACCCAAAATTCTTAGGAGAAGCTTAGAAGCTGGCAAAAAGTGAAAGCTGAGCTGGTTCATTGAAGACTAATACCCATTTTCTTGTTATAAGAGGGAACAAGAAGCTGGGCACCGGTGGTTCATGCCTGTCATCCTAGCTACTCAGGAAGCTGAGATCTGTGGATCAAGGTTCAAAGCCAGCCCTGGCAGGAAAGTCCGTGAGACTCTTACCTCCAATTAACCACCTGAAAACTGGAAGTGGTGCTGTGGTTCAAAGTACTAGAGCTCTAGCCTTGAGCAAAAAAAAGATCCAGGACAGTGCCCAGGCCCTTAGTTCAAGCCCCATGACCGAACTTCCCCCATCCCTCCTCCCCCCCCCCCTGCAAAAAAGTGAAGCAGTCTCCTTAGGGACTGGGGTGAGGGTACAGAAGAAAGACACCCTCCCACCACCCCCCACCCCTGCTCCATCCAATTCCAGGCAGGGCAGTGAAGGGGTGGGGGGGTGGAGGTATATGTGAAAATCTGGGCCGGCTTCCTGGTGGAGGAGGCTGATGGCCTCTCTCCCTCATGTGGACAGGCTGAATGAGAACATGTCCGTGTGCGTGGCAGACTTTGGGCTCTCAAAGAAGATCTACAATGGAGATTACTATCGCCAGGGACGCATTGCCAAAATGCCAGTCAAATGGATCGCCATCGAGAGTCTGGCAGACCGTGTCTACACCAGCAAGAGTGATGTGGTTTGTGGGGGCTGGTGGGGAGGAATGACATGGTGGGAGGTGATGACTGCCTCTCCCAGCTGTCAAGGTCAAGGCTCCTCTGATCTAGCTAGGGCAAAGCCTCTATGCATTTGTTAGGGATGTGTCCAAACTCGTGCATGCATGGTGGCAGCAGCATGGCTGGCAGGTGCACATGGCCCCACTACCACAACGTGTACATCCTGCAGGATTGGATATATGTGTGCATCAGCATGCCTTGCCCATGCAGATCCCACAGGACCAGCTGGGAACATGCGTGCAGGGATCATGCGTGTACCTCTGGGCCTGTGTGTTTGGGGGTGGCTTTGTGCAGCAGAGGCCCCTCTAATTCCCTTCCCTCTGTTCCGCTTAGTGGTCCTTTGGGGTCACAATGTGGGAGATCGCCACCCGAGGCCAAACCCCATATCCAGGAGTGGAGAACAGTGAGATTTATGACTACCTGCGCCAGGGGAACCGCCTGAAGCAGCCCGTGGACTGCCTGGATGGCCTGTGAGGACCCTCAGGGCCCCTTTTGGGGGCCCCACCCCCAAAATGCACTTCACACCCCCTGAACCTCTACACAAAGCCCCAACATCTCCTGAGCCCTGTAAAACACTGCTCAGAGACAGGTACTGTGGCTCATGCCTGTCATCCTAGCTCCTCAGGAAGCTGAGATCTGAGGATCATTCAAAGCCAGCCCAGGCAGGAAAGTCTGTGAGAGTCTTATCTTCCACTGATCACTAAAATAAATAAATAAATAAAGCCAGAAGTGGAGCTGTGGCTCAAGTGGTAGAGTGCCAGCCTTGAGCACAAAAGCTTAGAGACAAGACCCTGAATTCAAGCTCTGGGACTGGAAATAGAACTTCCCAAATCCCCATAGGTACCCTCAAATCCAAGTTCCAGAATGTCCCCCCCACTTTCCTGAACCTCAGTCTCCCACCTTTCTTTAGGTATGCCTTGATGTTCCGGTGCTGGGAACTGAACCCCAGAGACCGACCAAGCTTTTCAGAACTGCGGGAAGACTTGGAGAACACACTGAAAGCCCTGCCCCCAGCCCAAGAGCCTGAGGAAATCCTCTACGTCAACATGGACGAGGGTGGGGGCCACCCAGAACCACTGGGAGCAGCTGGAGGAGCCGAACCCCCAGCCCAGCCTGACCCTAAGGATTCTTGTAGCTACCTCACCGCAGCTGAGATCCATCCTGCTGGACGCTATGTCCTCTGCCCTTCGACAAGTCCTGGACCCTCTCTGCCCGCTGATAGGAGGTCCCCGGCACCCCCAGGGCAGGAAGATGGTGCCTGAAAACAACCCTCTACCAGGGAGACACCCTCTCAGGACCCAAGCTAGGCACTGCCACTGGGGGGGCGCCTCCTCCTTGCCCCCCCCCCCACTTTCCCACTCTAGGTCTGGTCTCCTCCATGCCGGATAGATTTGCTTCGTCTTTTCTGTGCCTTACCATTCCCCTCCCTGCCAGGAAGGGGCTGGACTGCAATCTCTCCAAGGGTTCTTCTCCAGGTCTCACAGTCTAGAATATTGTAGGTCCTGAGGCTTAAGGAGTCTAGAGTTGGTTCTTCTGAGGGCCTGAAATTCTAAAGTCCCTGATTCTCAAAATGTTAAAGGTTCTAGATATGGAGATTTTAAGGCCCACTGGTTCAAAGGTTCTCAGATTTGGTGGCTCTAGATTTTTCTAGTTGTCAAATTCTTTATAAAAGGCCCAAGATTCCAAGTTCTAAAGTCCCAAGATTCTTCTAGGACCTAAGGCTTTATTGTTCTTGATTCTTCTAAAGTTCTGAATCCTGGGGTGCCTTAGGAATCTAGGTTCTATGATCCTAAAGATTTTATCATTGTAAACATGGAGGTCCTAAGGCCAATTATTTAAAATTTTTGACGTTAAGGCTCTGAGTTTAGATCTTCTGGCTGAAAGACTCTAGATCATGAGGCTCCAAAACCTTATCTTTTTTCTCAAGTTCTAAGCTTCTAATGGTCAGTTATAGTCTCTGAGGCTTTATAATCATAGATTCTCTTCTATGTGATCCTGGATCTAAGAATCGAAGATTCTAGTTGCTGTTCAGAAACTCTAAGAGAAGAAAGATAGATGGTTCTAAGATATAATGTTCTAAGATGTGACATTCTAAAGCCTAGTCTAAGAAGCTAGCTTCCTTGGGTTTAAGATTCTAGATCAGATGCTTAAAGGTTCTAGATGATTATGCTGTTAAGATTCTAATGTTGGCCTGTTTTATGTTTCCAGGCACTGCATGGTCTATAGTTACAAAATTGTGGGTCCTATACATCTAAGATGCTTACTTGTCACTAATTAGACACCAGAGTTAATCATCTTTAATATTGGAGACCATCAGGTCCTCTAAGCTGCATTCCTCTTATTTAAGACAATACTCAAAGGTCCAAGAATACACATTTCTATCAGCACTGTAGTTTAAGGTTTAAATGTTCAGAAATGGAGCTGTGGCTCAAAGTGGTAGAGTGCTAGCCTTGAGAGAAAAAATTTTAAAAAAGTTCAGGGACAGTGCTCAGGCACTGAGTTCAAGTCCCATGACAAAAAAAAAATTTGGAAGCCAGGCACGGGTGGCTCGTGTGTGTCATCCTAGCTACTTAGGAGGCTCAGATCTGAGGAAAATGATTCAAAGCCAGCCAAGGCAGAAAAGTCAATGAGACTCATCTCCAATGAACCTCTAGAAAACCGGAAGTAGAGCTGTGGCTCAAAGTGGTAGAGCACTAGCCTTGAGCAAGAGAGCTCAGGAACAGCACCACCCAGGTCCTGAGTTTAAGCCCCACAGCCAGGAAAAAAGATTTAGATGTTCTGAAATTGTAAGGGACCACAAGTCTGGGACATCGGTATGATCCCGAAGTTATAACTTTGTAATATTCCTCTGTGTGCCAGGTACGCTTTCCCTTTCCCTCATCTTGGGGGTGTGTGCCCCTCAAGCCTGTGCAATGCATTAGGGATGCTACCTTTCCCCCCAGGGAATGGACCATCTCTCTTCTTTGGGGCCATGCTGCCCCCTTGAGCCAGTCCCTCATCCTTGGTCTACAGAATGTGGGCTCAGGATGCCTCCACAGGGCCTTATAAAAACAATGTCAATCACTGCTTTTGTCTCTTGTTTCCATTCACCATGATTTGTGCCCTTCCTGGCAATTCTATTTCCCCCAGGGTAAAAAGAAGGATTGGTGAGCCAGGTACTGGTGTCTGTTCATGACTTCATCCCAGCTACTCTGGAAGCTGTGATCTGAGTGAGGATTTGGGTTCAGAGACAGCCCAGCTAGGAAAATCCATGAAATGTCTCTTCTCCAATTAACCAGCAAAAGGCTGGAAGTGGAGGTGTGGGTCAAGTGGTAGAGTTCCAGCCTTGAACAAAAAAAAAATAGTGAAATCCTGAGGTCCTGAGTTCAAATCCTCATACCATCAACCCCCCCACCCCCCCACCCCCAATGAAGAAGGGTTGTGGTAGTGCATGTCTGTAATCCCAAGTGCTTGGGCAGGCTGAAGTATGAGAATATTCAATTTGAGGTCATCCTGGGCTACAGAGCCAAATCTTATCTCATTAAAAAAAAAAATAGAATACAATGTAGAAAGAAGGATTTGGTGGGTCTGGGAATTCTCCTCATTGAAGAAAGAGGATAGAAATAAACATAATAAAAGAGAGCTAGGAAACCACAAGGCTTTCAGAAAACCCCTCGTGAGGAATATTCTTATAGATTCAGGATCCTAGGGGTATCTACATACCCTTCAATTAAAAGACACGCTCAGGAACACTTGGCCACAAAGACACATCTAGTAAGAGAGACTGGCAGAAATCACACAGAAGACATTTTACAGTCATGCACGGGCAGGTACCCAACCAAGAACAGCAAGAAATCAGAGTAAATCAATGACACATGAAGATACCAACAGGTCCTCAACACACCCCCAACCCGTGCAGACTCTCATGGAGACAACAGGCACCAGAACATCTCGATCCACAGATTCACAAAGGGACTTTCTCCAAGATCAGGCCTTCTGGATCTCCACCAAGAGCCCTGGCTGCCACTTGTTCCTGGGTGGGTCTGGTTTACAGATGGAGGAAAAATCCTAGGCAGCGCCCGGACGCCCTCTGCTGGTGAGTCTCAAGAACAGTATAAGCCCAGCTACAAAAAAGTTTTTGTTTTGGAAGCAATCTTTTGTGGGGAGCAGGGAGGGGAGAGGAAGTCGGGCGTGAGTGAGGGGCGGGGTGTCTGGACTGGAACCTCAGGGCCCACGTGAGTGTCTTGTCCTGCCGCTGAGTGGGTGCCGTGTTAAAGGTCAAAGTGAGGTTTGTCTGGCCTTGCACATCTGGGCGGCAGAAGAGGCTTTATCTGGATCGCAGGATATCATATGACTGCTATTGGTTTATCGTGTGCTGTGGGTAACTTTTTATGTCCTGGTCTTGAACTCGGGGACTGGGCACTGTCCCTGAGCCTTTTTTCTGCTCCAGGCTACTTAGGGCTCTCCACTTGAGTCACAGCTCCACTTCAGGCTTTGTGGTGGTTCACTGGCGATGAGTCTCACAGACGTTCCTGCCCCAGGCTGGCTTTGAACCTACAGTCCTCATATACCAGCCTCCCGAGTAGCTAAGATGACAGGTGTGAGCCACCGGTGCTCAGCAGCTATGTGTCTTTTGTGGGTGTCTGCACCGTGCATCCTGATCGTACATCTCAGTGAAGCTCTGTCTTCTGAGTTAAGACGCGGACAGGATTAAAGACCTTGTGACACAGTCACAGTTCCCTGTGTTGGTACAGACGCCAAATAGGCAGAATAGATTTGAGGATTTCGGGAGGTGGGGTGGTGGAAATCTACAAACTTCTGGAGCTCTTGGAGGGCAAAACTCTATGTTCGCGTGCAGAGCGGCCGTCCACTTCGGGCAGAGATGCCAGGATCGTGGGAAGAGCGCCCCGTGAGCAGGAAAGGCGGGGGGGGGGGGGGGGGGGGGGAAGGGACAGACTGCGACTTGCTGTGCAACTTTTTTCTCGTTCTGACTCTAAGCCCCGTTTGCAGCCCTTCAACACTCTCTAAAATGGAAAAGTTGTTTTGTTTTGTTTTTTAACATGGAAGCAATTGAGTTTCTAACCGATACTAGGTAGTACCACGACTTACAACTCAACTCCCTATATTTTCCAGTGTAGATTAATGGGGGAAAGAAAAAAAAAAAAGTCGTCTGCAGAATGGCCAATACCGTTAGCTTTTCCTAAAGCGAGCACGATAAACCCGCTTTAGTGAGATAAAACCAGAACTGTGATTGGTAGACCGCTTGTTTTGAAACCGCCCTAACGGCAAGGGGCGGGCCATCTGTGAATTCATCTCTAGTTCCGGTTTCTTAAAGACAACAGGAAAGAGGTTTTGACGGGCTTTCCTCCTCCCTCCTCCCCCCCCCTCCACTCCCACACACACTCGTCCTGCCACGCCCCATCCAGCCCCGCGATTTGATTGGTGCTAGTGATTTTACCCGCTCAGACTTCTCAAGGGGCGGGAGATCTACACCAATCAGAATGGGTGTTACAGAGACACTTTAAGCGGGGATGAAAGGACGGGATAGGAAAGGCCATGTGGGGGGGTAGAGGAAGGGTGGCGCTCCTTCTGAAATCTCATTTCCAATTGGTCCAAATCATTACTCCCTTTCCCTCATTTGACCTTCAGGAAGCTGGCGCGCGGACGCTAGCCAATCAGCACGCACTCCGCCTCCTGCCTTTTCCCGCCCTCCGCTCCGGGCCGCGGCTTCGACGTAGGCCAACGCTTCCTCTTCGGCAACTCTAAAGGCCCTTCCGCTGTTATTTATTCTGAAAGCCACAGTTTGATTGGCTGAACCTCCCGGTCCGCGCCCGTTGCCCTCGCGCACCGGCCAATTGGCACTTGTGTTGCATCCTCCCGGGGCACGGACGAGGGGGGGAGGCGGCGGCCATCTTGAGCCGCTGCCGCCATTGGAGTGCCCCCCCCTTTCTCCCCCCCTTTTGCCTCTTGACAGGAAAGGTTTAAGGGGGGAATCGAACCCTGGGAGGCCGGGCCGGGCTCGGGGGCCGCCCCGGGGGGCCCGGGCCATGGATGTACGTCGTCTAAAGGTGAACGAACTTCGCGAGGAACTGCAGCGCCGCGGCCTGGACACTCGCGGCCTCAAGGCCGAGCTTGCTGAGCGGCTGCAGGCGGCGCTGGAGGCCGAGGAGCCCGACGACGAGCGGGAACTCGAGGCCGACGACGAACCGGGGCCGCCCCCCGGGCACCACAACGAGGAGGTCGAGACCGAGGGGGGCTCCGAGCTGGAGGGGACCGCGCAGCCACCGCCGCCCGGGCTGCAGCCGCACCCGGAGCCCGGCGGCTACTCGGGGCCGGATGGACATTGTGAGAGTGCGCGGGGCGGGGGGCGGGAGGCC